CAGTTCTCACAACAATCGTGAATTAACCAATCGGAGAATCGCTACTCCACGCTATTGAAAACAACAACAAATGTGAACAGAATTTGATCGCAAATTCGCGAAAATATACAGCGAAAATACAGAGTCTTTTTCTATAAAATAATTATACGAAATTTGAAATGGAAAACCAGCTAAACAGAAAGCCAAAGTAGTTATGAAGATTCTCCACCTGAATACTTGAAGATTGCGAAGCGTTTGAACTTTGAAGCGAGAGGTGTTGTACACTTGTACTTGCCATGGTCTGATGAATTTCAACGCTACGCCTGGCTACTTGCTGAATGGCAATGTATCGATCAGAAATTTATTCATACAACTAAACCAACGTCTCAATAATTGCAAACTTACTTCAAAGTCGAAAGATATTGTACAACAAAACTTTACAATGCGAGTATATTTGTAAAATTATGTGCAAGAATTTCTGTTCAGAATTTCCCGTACAGGAATGTCTGATCCTGCACGGCTGTTGACCAATCAAATTGCGTGTTTCACTGTAGTTATTATATAAATCTTTTTGCGTATATTTCTAATATGATCAAAGTCACAGATTAACAAACATCTGCATTAATTAAGACACTGTATTGCCAAACTAAAAAGAAAATAGAGATTCGATATCCCACTATACTTTTCGCGTGAAGCCTGAAGCAGGCGTCATCTCAAGGCCTCTCATTTTTCAAAATGGGTTGTTGCTGCCGAGCCTCAGCTCGCATGATATACCACGCATGACTAGGGGGTTCTGGGGGTCTACTCCCCCAGAAAAGTTTGGAAATTTGAAGCCCGGAAATGTCATTTCCTGCATTCTGAGCGTCGAAATTTGCTCTAAAATTTATGCTGACTCTACTTGTGTTTGAAATAAGAGAAGAAAAAATTAAAAATATTAACAATAATTATCATTACTAAATTACTTGCTGTTAGATAAACGTAACAATTTAAGTCGATTTTGTTAAACAAGGACAAAGGATAAACCCTGAAACGTACATACTTTCCGTTGACCTATTTGTTATTCTTCGCTTGTTTGTTTGTATAAATTTAGGAAAAATGGACTTTTCCAGGCGGAGCAGAAAGTGATTTCGGGAGGGGGGGGGGGATGAGGGGCACAATGGGGAATGGGGAGGCACATCTCCCCCTGATTGTATGTTAATAAAGGCCCTGTGACTGGGAAGATATATTCTTCGGTTAGAACATGTGGTTATAGTTCAAATTCATCTCTGGTCTACTTTATATGTTGGAAACACAGTGTTGGATATTTCTTACAAACACGACATGTATATAAACTCTAAAGCATTTAGCCTCTAGCTATAGTTTTATGGTATAAATATAAATGCAAAATATTGTTGTAGTTATAATGATGTCACAATTAATGGCTAAAGTGTTCGTAGTTTTTATTTAGAATTGATTACTTGGATTCATTGTAAAACGTTGTTGTTTGAATTAACGAAAATTCGAAGAAACAAAAATACATTTCCAGTTTGTTGTCTGAATCCGCAAGCAGTAACTTCTTATCGGTTTACCAAAACTACTAAGAGGGAGCAATGGGCATCGAAGCTACGCGGCGAGGTTTGTAAGCGGTGAGGTAAAATTAGTCTTGATCAGCATAATAGAAAGGTTCAGATTTGACTTCCTTTACCACTACCTCTAAAGCTTCGGTGGCGCAGTCGTCAGAGCAAGCGCCTTTCTCCTCTGAGTTCGTGGGTTCGATTTTCGCTACGGGCTCACGCTCTGAAAGTCGTAGGTTTTCGCCTGGTCTCCGGTTTCGTGGCACCTTGAAAGTTGACTGCAGGGCCGTACCGGGGGCTCTGCAATTGGGGGGGGGGGTGAATTCCAAGATTTACCCACGAAATCCACTTAAGAATCGTACAGTTTTACGTACTGTATATAGGTAATGGAGCAATACATTTATGAAAGTTGGATAAATACTGTCATTTGCAATGCAGAACCAAAGCGAAGAAGATAAAATTCTTATTCTACATCACTATAAATTACTAGAATGGAACATAAAATCTTATAAAAGTTAAATTATATAGTTACTTTCATTTCCATAAATTGTCTATTAAAATTTAAAGAATGACGAGTACTAATTTGAATTAAACTTTTGTCACGTGCTGTACAAAGAGTTGTCATAGTTGCAGACTTGCATGCAAGTACAGTGGTTACAACTAACTTTCTATTTTAAAATTGAAGCCAATGTAATGTATTACCAAAATATTAATTTCGTAATAGGTTCTATAGGTAGCATGTTTCACTGTTTCTAGTCTAGATTTTAACTCTTCTTGCTTTAAGATTTGACCAGGAATCAGCTATCTTGTCAATATCAACGTTGTCTAAGATGTCGGGCGATGATGCTAATATCATCAAAGAGTCCAGGCGGTCTTCTTTCATTGTTGACCGGAGATAATTTTTCACCAATCGTAACTTGCTGAAGCTGCGCTCGTTACTAGCGACTGAGATCGGAATCGTTAACGCGAGCTGATATGCCTTCGCAAGGGCTGGATAAAAGAAACGCTTTTCCTTAAGAAATCTGGCCGCTTCTCGCAGATTCTTTGCTTCACTCTGCTCAATGGCACCACCAATAATTTCCATCTCCGCAAGTAATGCGTCTGGATCTTGAAGATCCTCGGGAAAATCGGCACACAATTGTTCGACTTGATTTGCCGTACATTTAGCGATTTTGTTTGGAAAAAGAACTGAAACTGGAACAACAATGTCCGAGACGTAGTTGTGGGCATCGATCGTTGATATCGCTGACCAGGCGATCGAGAACTTTGAACATCTGCTGACGGTAGTGCTGGTTAAAATGTGGAATAACGCGATTATCAGCATTCTAGTCGATGCGCTTTGGTTGTCGACGAGGACGATGTTTCTTAGAAAATTCGTATTGAACATCGATTCCAAAAGAACTACACTTTTCTACTGCAGCTGTGATTATGCCATCCAGGCCAACATCATCATTCCGTATTCGCAGCATTTCATCTCTTGTTTTGCACATTGCATCCAAACTTGCCAGGATATCATAATCGATTTCTTGAACTTCGAGAATTACAACCTTCATCTAGTACATTATGCTCTTCGTGAACAACATGCAGAAATAAAAATCAAATGACTGTATTGTCTCCGACAAATAGTTTGCTGTCTTTCTGGCATCTCTGTCACTCCCTTGAAAGTTCTCGATTTCTGCAAGAACATCAAGCAAAACTTCGTAGCTCAACCACACTGCACGTATTGATTCTGCTCTTCCAATCCATCGCGTTTTCGATAGGTTTTTCATAATCAAACCTTCTTGTAACTCTTCAATCTTGTCCTTTAGTTTACCAAAGCGGCTGGTACTCTTTGTAAGAAAGTTATACAGATCTTGCAAAGTAGTAAAAAATTTGTCGATGAACAAGGAAGCCTGGCAACAATGCTCGACACATAGATTTGCCTTGTGGCCCATGCAAGTGATGTAGGGAATGTTCCGTTCCAAATGCTCGCTAAACTTTGCTTGTGCACCGTTGTATTCTCCAGACATTGACGCGGTTGTGTCATAACACTGAAATCTAGCCATGGAGAGAGGAATCTGCAAATCGTTTAACATCTATATCACCTTGAGGGCAAATGCATCGCCACTCTTTCCTTTAATTTCCGATATTTTGACAAGTCGCTCGTGGATTTCAAACTCTGCATCGACGTATCGAATAACGAGGGAAATCTGATCAAGGTGGCTAACATCGGGAGTTGTGTCTGCCATTGCTGCATAAGCTCCAGAAGATTTGATTTCATCAACCATGTGTTGCCGGACTTCTTATCCAAGAAGACCAACAAATTCATTCTGTGATTTGGGACTTAAATATGTAACATGGTGGGATCGAGACTGTGCATTACTCATCCAATGTTCAAGAAAAGGTACCCACCTAGCTATGAAAGCTATGATTTGCCGGAAGTTATCATTTGAATCGTCATCGCTACCACGAAATGCGATACTCTGTCTAACTACAGTAGGCAACGGGTACAATCAAGCAGGAGTGTTATTACTTTGCGAGCATCCAGGCGTTCTTGCCCTTCTTGCGCCAGCCTTTGCAATCGTGCACTGTTTAATGCTACGTCAACGTGCATATCTCTTTGGCTAAAACACTCAAACTTTTCAGCTGATAATTTGTGGCTTGCACTAGTAAAATGTTCCTCGAGTTTACCTGGCCTTTTCTTTCCCCGACTCTTCATTTTGTTCCAAACATTTACCCCTTCAGTGGACCAGTTAGTGTCGGTAGATCCTGCTCCGTCTCCAAAACAAGCAACACGCAAAACAAAATGCCCGATCTGTGGTGGGACTGTATTCCAGATATGGGAATTTTTCGTACCATTTTGGAGAGAATGCATTCTGTTTTGTTTTTGAAATCGCCGGATTTGTAGGGTATTTCTTAAAGCGTGGCTGATATGGTCCCTGGCAGATTAGGTATTGTTTTTCGTTTTCAGTGAGCTTCATTCCTTTTCTAATACCAGGATCTCTTTCAAAGTTAACTGATTCAGCGCGGTCCGTATTGTGAAAACTTTGCTGCATCGCTTCCTCATGGCTTGCAAGGGCTTCATTAGCTAGTTCACCGATGTTATTGCTGCTCTCTTTCACTTCATTTACAAACTTTTGAACTGTAGATAGGAACACTTCTTCACAATATCCCTCTTCACCTTACGATGAGTGTAGCGATTTTCCTTCTTTGATGACATCTAAGAGAGTGCCTAACATACCTGCAATTTTACTCGTTGCGTCTTCACTGGATTCTTCAACCGTTGGCGGTGAGTTGCTATCGCCTTCATCAAGTCTTTGAGCAGGGCTGTCAATCTATAAAAATAATTAAGTATTGATCATAAAACATGGCAAACTGGCAACAGCCGTCAATTTAAAATATTTACAAATTACAGTTTTTAAAGAACGAAACTAAAAACGTACCAGTCGTAGCTACTTAGTGCTTATTACTCACCATTTGCACTGACAAAACATTTAGATTCTAAAACAGCGCTTTCATATCAGGCGTCTGAGCCTGAGGGTACATTTCTATCAAATTCTTCAGATCTTGGACTTTCTAATTCATCAAATTGACTCTCTAAATCTAATCGAGGTCTCTTCCCTGCCGTTAAATTTTCGTTTCGATGCATTTCAGGAACAAACTGCTTCTCAATGACAGTGGGTAGACATTGGTCATTTTTATGATCATCTGAAATTCCAGTCTCTGCACAGTCTGCAGACTCTTGTCGGTTACTTGGATTTTGAGTTACGCAGGCATTAGTTTCTTCGGCTTCTCGTGTTCTCTTAGCTGCAGCCTCGAATGGGTTTCGTGGAGCACCGACAACTTCGTAGCGTATGTGCTTACGGCTGTTGAGCATGTCTTGATGAAAACGCGAGTTGTGCTTGCTTCTATGATCAAAATCCATTTCAACACTGGGCGTACATACTAAACATTTTATTTTATATCGATTCTTTCTAATTTCTTTTCGAGGCATTTTACCATGCGATATCACCGAAAACCTTCTGTGCGTTCCCACTAAAATGTTTATTGTAAAATTTAATTATTATAAAAATAATATTGCACTACTCACAACTACAGCAGATCGATCATAATAACAGCACATCGACTTTCATTTTACGAACACGGAACACTTGCAATCATGTTTCAATATATTTTGTGCCTAGTAGACAAACTTTACATTACACTCTCTTAACTAATCAGAATCAAGAAATTCCCATGTATATTAATTTATTATTCGGAATTATGCTATATAATTATATTTTACTTACCTTCTCATTAAAATAACAATACGACGAGTCGATTTGTATTGCCAGATACTTCATATAACCGATAACATAGTGTTTACCGATGGTGATCCAAACTATCCCGATCGTAAGCCAATGGCACGGCGGTCGGCATACGCTCGGATTGTCCCATCATCGCCGTCGGTAAAGAGACTAAAACACCATGCATGATTATAGTTATATGAAGTATGCAACAATGCAAATCTTACTAATATCTTATAAATACTGTCATATAATATTTTTTATTGTATTTTTTATTATGATTGGCCTTTTTAATTCCGGTCGTGTTTTCTTTATCGCGTGTCGGTCGTCCAATTGTTCGGTTTGTTCTATACTATACGATTGCTGATATCATGAATTCCAAAATTACCGACCGCCTTATTTTAACTCAGAGATCCCAAGGATAGTGCAAAGTTGATATGACAAATCATAATTAAGATTTATGTTGATTCGCATAATGTGAGAAATAGGATTGATGCATCTATAAGGAAGTTGTTTGGCTTTGTTTTTGTATATTACAAGCCATGCAGTAAGCCACGACAGTAAATTTTGTTGTTTTCGCATGGATAATTTTCCATGGCTTATTTCCTTGAATGGTGGCTTTAATCCAGATCTTTTTTCTTTGTCAGTTTAATTCAATTTTCTACCCATTTTCCGTTGTACGTGTAATACAAAACAAAATAAACCGCCTTCGAAAATCGAAATGAAACAAAAATAAAACAAAAATGAACAGCTTTTACTGTAAGGGCCTGTTTATATAGAAGCCGGGCTGGCCCGCTTAGCGAGACAGACCGGTAAGCGAGATCTCGCTGTGTAGTTATTATTATAGGCATTTTGTAAAAATTGTCGTGCGTTTATATGGACAAGCGGGCTGGCCCGGTTGCCGAGATCTCGCTTGAAAGAGGCAAAATCTCGCTTACCGGGATGGAAATTTCTCCATATAAACACTCGCAAACGGGCTAGCCCGGTTGCCGGGATGAAAGTTCAAAGATATCGCCGCAAGCTATTTTTAACAACTGTCAAAACAACGTCAATGTAACAAAATTGTCCCGGCAAGCGGGATGAAATTTTCTCATATAAAGTTATAAACACAAGAGAAATTCATCTCGCTTACCGGGCTGTCTCGCTAAGCGGGCCAGCCCGGCTTCCATATAAACAGGCCCCATGATATGCAAACAGGACTATGGTCGACATCTAAATATTTCTCACTAATACAATATTTTACAGTTTATCAATGAAATTGCCATAACTGCATATTAAAGTGAGAAATACCAATAGTTTGATAAAAGCTTGGAATGACTGATTTTATAAAACGTCTTGGAAACAATACGAACTGACATTACTGACTACAGATTACGCTGTCACCGAGTGCAGAAATTTCTGCTATTAAAAATATTATACTTCACCACAAACACTCGATAGTTTATATACAGACATTTATAGTTCACTAGCTGGCTCTCGCCGGCTTGGCTGGCATGTTACCGCTGGAGCAAAATTTCAATCTTATTTTATTATTTACTATTTATTGGGCCATGTAAATCTTGCTCTATCGCGATATAATAATACAAGAATAAGCTAGCTGGTATAGACTGAGAGCGGTCTCTCCTTTCCGCGGGTTATATCGCGATATAATAATACAAGAATAAGCTCGCTGATATAATTCAGCTGCTGACTTATAATTTTATATCAAAACTATCCACTGGCATCTATTCATGTATACATCGCTCCGTATCTTTGATAGATAAAGCACTGTGCTATAATACTATCAACCTCAGTTGTAATACACTCTAGTCTGCACGATTTCACACCGCCGCTCAAAAGTCACTGCTCGTCCATGTCCGCCATTCTAAAATGATAATATATATTCTATGATATGAGAGCACGTGTATTATGCACGTGTATTGATGTTGCAGGGGGGCATATCATATAATAACAAGTGCTTGAAATGCAACAGTAATTTCGTTATAACTTCTCTAAATGTCGGATAAATAAGTAAGAACATGTACCATCTGAATATAAATATAGATTGTTATAATCTACAAACAGCTATGAACGATTAGTTGGCCGAACGGCGCGAATCTCTAAAACGTAATAAAAAATCATTCGCAAGCTCCCCCCGGATTGTTTACTCTATAGATCGATCGGTCACTGAATTGAATTTAACCTCATAACAATAGTGCAAAGCAACTTTGCACTAAAAACCGACCACTATCTATTCTGAATCAATTTGCCGACCATTTAGACAAAAACTGGGGGGTGTCACCAACACCCCCTGTCTCGGTACGCCCCTGAGTGCAAATCTTCAAAGGATAATAGAAAAATAAGATTTGACTGCTATTGGATGCAGCTGCCAGTGACTATGTAGCATTAGTTCAAATTTGTGCGGATTTCTATTGTTCTCAGTCGGGTTTTATTTGGGTAAGATTCTTAAAGCAAGGGGAGGGATTTGATATCTCTCCAGGGAAAAGTGGGGTTGATCAATAGAATTGAATTAATAATTATAAATTCACGGGTTTTATCTATATAAACCCCGGCTTTTTATAGGTAAAACCCTAGGAAAGCCGGATTTTATACAGATAAAACCCGATGCAGAAATGCACGGACTTAATGCTTTTAATCACTATACAATCAAAACATTACAAAAATTAATTTTTACACTGACAATGTACCGTATACTATACTATACTATACATGTACCAGTTGTTCCACTCTGTCCCTAACACTATAGCTATATATTTCTTATGATAAAACTCAAACTCAAATTGTTCAAATTAATAGAAGTTAAAAAGAACTTCCCTGAACGATCAAAAGAACTTCCCTCCCGCATTTCTAGCCGTGCTCTCTTCCTTTCCATATGTTTATGCTGCATCTCTTCCTTCGTAGAATTTCTCTTCTCAGTCATCGCCATCGGGTCTTCACTCGATCACACTGCTAACTTTGCAGCCCCTGCTAACGCGACAATCCAAAGATTTTGATATTTCCATCAGTTTTGTTTTAATATTGGGTCTTTCATATTTCTGCAACGATCTTTTGTCGCGATGACCAGTCCATCCTTTTGCGGTATAAAGATATCTTCGTCGATGTTTGTGTCGTTCATAGTTTAACCACCGCTCATTTTCCATGCATGCATACATGCATAAAAGAGTCTGAGAATTATAGTCCATAGCCCATAGTCTGGCCATATGTTTCTCAATATTTAAAACACAAATTTGGCAAACTATAATATACAAATAGCCTTCGAAAACAATATCTTACAGCTATTAATTGTAACAATTGAAATTATTAAAAGCAACCGAATTGCGATATTCGCAAATGTGTTATAAGATTAAAAACTCATGGAAATCTGCTAAATTGTAAAATACTTCTAGACATTTTGAAATTTATACCGGTACCTTTTACTTGATGGAAATAATCACAAATGGTACAAGAAACATATTAACTCTATCGCCATATTTTTTAAATTACCAAGATTTTTGGCATTTACTCCCCCTGATTCCCAATGGGAGTTTTAATGATATACAGAAATGCTCCCAGTTCTCGGAGTATTTTGGAGTCACGTGATCAGCGTTTACCAGCCATATTAGAAAATCGTGCGGGCAGGCCCTGAGTACGAGGTTGGTTAAATGGATGTTCTTAACCAAGGACGCAGAATGTGTTGATGAGTTTAACAGGAGCCAACTCAACTCTGAAATTTCTATCATCAAGAAGCACACGTTAAATATAAATTGTTTATGTCGAAGTTTTCACCAGGAAAGTCTGTTGTGGCGTACCTAATTTACAATCTCGATGCTGTACTGCAATGCTTATATATAAATATCTTCAACTATCTGGATCAAGATGCATTTATTGTACTCGATCTTGCTTTAGCGTGTAGTGGTTGCGAAGCAATGGTTGAAGGTTTCTACAGTGTCATCAAAGCGCACCATATATGCAAAGTCTGGTGGCCAGTCAAATAAAGTCCTGATGGAAAGAGCTTTTGTGGATTGGGTTCTACCACATCCGCTTGGTTCCCTTCAACTATTACAAAAAATGGAAAACTATATACAAGCGGTAGCCAGAAGCTCGGAATTCAAAAGCACCGATCAGCAGCGTTTTTCTTGAGTTGTTGTACTTGTTATCAGAATGGGGGGCCCCCAGGGACAGCTTGGCAAATGCTAATGAGGGCATTTGCATAACCTACCTTATATAAGTTGTTTACGCAAGTAGCTCATTCTCAGTCGTGACATAGTCCATCCTTACCCACGGGGTTCTTAGTCGTTCACATCCCCTCCCCCTCACCCACGCCCATCCGTAGCCTTCCCGGAGGAAGCCCGCAGCCAGCCTCGTCGTTTGGCTCGCTACCCATCGATTGCCCAATCTCAGTTAAGTACCTTACCCTGTTCATGATCTGGCACCTCGCGCCAGCCTCGCTGGGTTAACGACCCTGGTATCTCACAAACCTTCGTCTGTCGCATCGTCCTTCCCGTCCTGTGTTCGCGGCAATCAGCGTCAACAATCGGCCCAAACTCGTGTGTGGGTCATAATTTGTTGGTTATACAGTGTCTCTTTCGGAGCGGATCTTGGTGCCCTTGCTCATCTCCACCTCCTAAAGAAGTGTGATTGTAGTACTATAGGGGAGACG